GAATCTCCTCTATAAAATGGTCTAAGACCTATCAAAAAAACCATAAAAATTAATAGACCCGTTTTCTACTAGTGTGCTTATGTAAGCCCTAGGGCGCATCCATCCGGAAGCACGAATTCATTGGCGATTCTTATGGTAAAGTCTCACGATAACTTATAACAGTCAGTAGCGTCCGACTTCATTTCGTTACACTAAGGGGTCACATGATAAATTATCGATATAGACGGAACGAAAATTTAAAAAATAACTGGATTCTTTAGATGTTTCCTCGTCGTCTCTATCTTTTCATCTAGGCCTGAAATATGAACAAATATACATATCGGAAAGATCATGCCTATCCAACAAATCGTACGGTTAGGAAAAACTTACTCGAATACGTGCATATACCTCCTGACGATGAAAAAACACTAAAAACATGAAGTGTTTTGTCAGCGTGAAATATACACAAAAAGGTATTTTAAAATTATTTGTTTTCTTTGTTCATGGTGCGAAATTGACGTGAAGAGAGAAATGAGGAAGTAATGGCGATTTATTTATCAGGATATTATTTCACTTAGTTCAAAGTCTGTAAATGGTGACACTTGGTTTTGTCCTTGATTCATAAATAATAAGCTTACGCAAAGTATGTGAGTTACCATCATAATACTTTCTCACTCAAAACAATTGTATTTTATACATAACCAAAGTACTTCGTTCTGCCGAAATGTACTAGTTTATACAATTGTATTTTCTGTGCATTGTGGTCTTGTTAATTACTTACTTACGCCTGCTGCTCCTAATGGAGCATAAACCGCCAACCAGCATTCTCCAGCCCACTCTGCCGTGGGCCTTCTTTTCTAGTTCCATCCTACTCCTGTTCATTTTTCTCATGTCTAACTCCATTTCTCGGCGTAATGTGTTCTTTGGTCTTCCTCTTCTCCTCCTTTGGCATTGAGGATTCCATGTGAGGGCTTATCTTGTGACGCAGTTGGGTGCTTTCCTCATTGTGTGTCCTATCCATTTCCAGCGCTTCTTCCTAATTTCTTCCTCCGCTGGAATCTGGTTTGTTCTCTCCCACAGTAGGTTGTTGCTAATAGTGTCCAACCAACGAATCCGAAGTATTTTGCGTAAACAACTGTTCATAAACACCTGTAACTTCTGGATGATGGCTTTCGTAGTTCTTCAGGTTTCCGCCCCATACAGTAGAACTGTCTTGACATTTGTATTAAAAATTGTGACCATGGTGTTGGTTGACAGTTGCTTTGAGTTCCAGATGTTCCTCAGTTGTAAATATGCTGCCGCTACGTCTGCGTTCAATGCCTCTGATGGATTGTTGTCTGGTCCTGCTGCTTTGCCACTCTTGATTTGTCTGATGGCCATGCTGATTTCTTCAATGGTTGGTGGGCCAACATTGATTGCGAGGTCCGTGGGTGCTGCTTCGATGTCGGGTGGGTTCAGTGTGGCTGGTCGATTCAAGAGTTCTTCGGAGTGTTTTGCCCACCTGTTTCGTTTTTATTCAATGTTGGTGATTACCTTGCCTTCCTTGCTTTTCACTGGTCGTTCTGGCTTGCGGCTATTTTCAGAGAGTTTCTTTGTCGTGTCATACAATTGTCTCATGTTTCCTTCTCTTGCAGCCTTTTCCGCCGTCGTTGCTAAATCTTCCACATATTTACGTTTGTCAGTTCTGATGCTCCTCTTCACTTGTTTGTTTACTTCTGTGTATTCAGCTTGTGCCTTGGCTTTTTCTGCTCTTGTTCGACTGGTTTTGATTGCTGCCTTCTTGTTCCTCCTTTCTTGGATCTTATCCAGTGTATCAACAGTGATCCATTCCTTCTGATGGTGCTTCTTGTGACCCAGGACCTCATGACATGTTGAAGTGATTGCCTCTTTGATCCCCTTACAGTTGCTCTCCACAGTAGTTCCTTCTCCATTGAGTAGATCATGAAAGGCCTCGAACTTATTGCTGAAGACTACCTTGAATTTGTTGAGTTTGTCAGTATCCCGAAGAAAGGCCGTGTAGCGGTAAATAAATCCCCAAAATAAAAGGCTCTAAAAGTTTTCGACATTGGATGCTGACCACGTTAGTTTTAATGGACTCACCTAGCAGAAGGCGGTCAGTCATGCATCCGCACCAGGTCACGAGTGGAAACGCCGTGCTCAACAACCCTTGCAATCACTAGCCAGATTAGGTCAGACGATTCTCGATATATTGATAGCCTATCAAATATATCTTCGAACATCCTCGCTTCCGTCTTTTGATTTCACTTGGTGGGTACGCTTTATATTGGGTGTTACTGGTTAAAGTGTTGTCAAGCTCTGAATACCTGTTCCATCTTCAGCCGTATTGAACTTTTGTGATATTGTCCGCCCCGTTGTCCAGTACTTCTTGAGTTTTAATTTCATCTTGGCGACCAGCAAGTGGTGATCTGATGCTATATCAGCTCCTCTCTTGGTTCGCACGTCCTCTATAGTCCTCCTGAACGTTTTGTTGATGCAAATATGGTCGATTTGGTTCTGCGTGGTGTGATCCGGTGAAGTCCATGTGATTTTGTAAATGCGCTTATGCGGGAATATGGTGTTGCCTATGACCAGTTTATCGAAGGCTTATAGGTTTGCAAATCTCTTACCATTTTCGTTCCTTTCTCCCAGTCCGTGTCGTCCCATGATGTCTTCATATTCGGTGTTGTCCATTACAACCTTGTCATTGAAATCTCCTATCAGAATGGTCAGGTCCTTTGTTGGGCAGTTCTCGACGATCGACTGCAGCCTATTGTAGAATTGATCTTTAGCGTATTCATTGTAGTCGTTGGTAGGCGCATAGCATTGGATGACGTTTATTGTAATTCCCTCTTTCTTTGTTTTGAAGGAGGCTTTGATGATCCTTGGTAGCATTTTTTAGAGAGTTAGTTTTCTAAAGGAGAGGGTCGCTAACCCCATGCCCAACCCCCTCCTTTATCCGGGCTTGAAATCGGCAGTAGCTTCCGGAGGGACTCAAGGCGGAGTGGTGGTCTTGTTAGTCATATATGTATTTGTGTGGTTTTTCGAGTAAATCTAAATCAGGAACATATCGGGTAAAAGTTGAGACCGATCGATCTTTATCCCATTCGTTTGACATTCTATCAGAGTGTAGGTCGGTGATCTAATGTTTTTCTCTCCTCCTCAAGTGTTTTCAGTCACAATCAAACTCACGCATCTGTTAGTCTCAGGGTTGAACTAAGTAGCCTATTGCATCATGTCCTCAAACTAGGTCGATGAAATTCCACCTTTCTGCATATTATTGGGCAAACAGATTGTTAAACTTGAAAGTTGCAGAGACTAAGAAGGTAACCAATATGCCGTAGAACGCAAAAAACTACAAAAAATCCGACTAAGACACCTCACCTAAAGTATCTTTTTAGATGTTCCAGAAGAAATCCATGGTTCTACCATAACATATCGATTCTCAGCAGTTGCGGTATACGTACGTAATCTGTCCCAGGAGGTCCATGCGACGCGTTCACTCAATTGTGAATATGGCTAAATCAATTGCGAAATATAAATTCTACTCTTAATTTCATGGACTATACTTAAGCTAACCACATTTAGTAACAGTGACGAAAAAGCCAATTACAAATTCTGTTGGAGTAATCTATTTCAAACACTCATGTGTTCAGGAAGGCTGTAATAGTGATGATATGGTGAAAGGCTTCACAGACTACTCAAATTCATCGAACATGACTTAGCACTTGTAGTTAGACAGATAACAACGAGTTAAAGACGAATGGTGTAAGTGTTAAACAAACATATGAACACACGTACTAAAACAAAAATACTTGGGATTACAAGTGAACGGTTGACATGTAAGACATATCTGCACAAGCGATATAAAAGCGTCCAATTGTGCGACATTTAACTACATCTTTTGCGTTGTACAAACTTCCTGTTTATCAACATCACTTAGATATACTCAAAAAACAACAAACGTAGTAAGAAAGACTACACTGTAATGTATGTAAAAGTTTTCTATGATATCACGCGATCAACGAATCGAAATGGTATGTTTCGCGAGCAGAGTTAACAATCAGTGTAAGCTCGTGGAGTATTTCTAAGCATTCCTATTGCGTAAAAGCAAACCAAAAATGTACAATTACTAAAATTCGTAGAGAAAACGTGCAATTAGGCTACTAAAAGTCTGCTTTCTAGGTCCTCAGCCTTCACTTAGTCTATTTTAAATTTATCTCCAGTTCCGCTTATTTAAGAGGTGCAGTTCCTGGATCACGATTCACAACCTTGAAGTGATCTTCATAGAATGAGTCGATGCGTCAGTGTAAATAATCACGACGTAAACATACGTGTGCACTATAGTGCAAGGCGAGTCGAGTAAAGAATGTCAGCTGACTAAATTCGATAGGAGCAGGTTTAACGAAACCAATAGATTTTTTAAGCCGAATCACCTAAGAGCTTAGATTCACATTCAGATAAAAATATAAAGGACGTAGAAGTTATGTCAGAAGTTAAATAGTTGTATATACAACTATTTAACCGCTTTTCCACTGCATTGCAGATATATTTTGGTCTGTTGTTGAAAATAATGGCGACCTTTGGGGTTCTGTCAATGGACGGAAAATAGGGGGTATGTGTGTATTTAGGCGAAAAGTAGGCAATTCCGCGGAAATTAAGGCGAAAAGTCGGTAATTTGTCGACAAAACGGCGAAAAAGGGGAAAATCCGCATTATTTCCCCCGGACAGGCGAAAAAGGGGACATTCTGGCGCGTTTTCCTCTTTATTTCCCCTTTCGCCACCAAAGCATTTACCCCTTTATTTCCCCTTTCTTCGCCTTTATTTTCCCTTTTTGTGTTGTCTGGGATTGTAAGAAAGTCTGTCTGCAACGAATCCAGCGTTATCCTTCACTTCACAACGTATTCCTCATGAAGCAAATATGAGTGTATTGGTCCTCTGAGACTTATTACCAAGTGATTGTGACTGACAAGATGTTTTTAGTTATTGTAGGTTTATTTTTCTAAACTACTAAAAAACTTTTCGCTTCAAAATTTATTTAGCGCCAGGTTTAACTGGAAATATCCGGTCGGAGGTAAATGTCATCTAAATATCCTTCTGGGAAGAAAGGTAACCGCATAAGCTTATGGTTTAAACGCGTTCTACCTGGTAAGAAAATATTTTCGACTTATTTTTTTAAGGACTTAAGCTTAAGACGAGTATATATATTGTTCTTTCGTTCTCACCACTATTTTTACATACATACTACGTTGTCTATAAATATTTTAACTTTGAAAACGACGCATTTTTCCTGTTATTGTTTTCCGTTTCCACATGATTTACTTTACGTAAACGAGGTTATAGCTGGACGCCACTTTATTATCACAGATCCAGCTGGTTAGCAAGTCATTGGTGGACTCCCATTGTGAGTCAAAAAAATGCACTACCAGAATCTGATAGTAAGCGAGAAACCCACCCTGGCGTGACTGAGAAGAAAAATTTAATATCATCGAATATTATTGTGAGCAAATTGCTGGAGTCAACCGACCCTGACACCAAAATTGGACACACACATAATTTAGAGAAGCTGGGAGAATATATTCATAGTATCTTACCAGATAACTCTAAGGGAGTTCAGGTAAAAAAACTGGTTAGAATAGATAAGAGGACCGAGGATAATGTTGAACCCCGACCATGCAGACTCCTTAAGGTAATCCTAGGGTCAGCGGAGCAACGGGATCTCCTATTAAGTAGCGCTCGTCGTCACGACAATTCCAACGTCCGAGTTAGACCTGATATGTCTCTCAAAGATAGAATAAAAAGGGAAAAAAGCACTAGCTGAACTAGAAACTCATCGACAAAACGGTCAGGAAGATCTCCGGTTAGTGGGTTTTTGGATAGTCAGGTCTTGGAAGCGAATGCTACCAAAACATGTGTGGATAGGCTGTTCTACCTAGGAGTTTTATATGCCAACGCTCGTAGTATAAGTTCTATAAACTAGAAACATTAGTGGACAGATTAAGGCCACTCATTGTAGCAGTGACAGAAACTTGGTTAGTCCATGACTTGGACTTAGCTTAGCTGATGACTTTATTTTAAAGCACACTCATCTTTGGAGTGCAAATACTAGATGCTTGATAATAGGAGACTTTAATGCACCTGATATTAGTTGGACTGAGATGACCATGGAAGGATCTATAAACTCCTTTGATAGTAGGTTCCTGATAACAGTAATGGAGCACGCATTAGTGCATCATGTATCCAAACCCACACGTTTTGGTGCTAACCAAGGTTCTTCTCTGTTGGACTTGGTAATCACTCATGAGACTCAGGGTTGGTTGGGCCACGTGTTACGTATGCCCAAACACCAATTACCACGACATGCAATGCTAACTGGTGTTCGGGATGGTTGGAAGAAAGTTAGGGGCGGCCAAACCAAAACGTGGCATCAGTGCTTGAAGTCACTAACTTCTAGTCTGAGCCATGCTGGTAAATGCAAACCACTTGGTTGGGGTCCGCGTGACTATCGTAACCAATGGTTAGAGACTCTTGGTGACATGACTCAGAATCGATCACAATGGAGTCGGTGTATACACTCTCTGTCTTCCCTTAAACCGTGAGATTAAAATTACTTTATACCTTTCTTTCTACCAGCTAATTCTTTCCATATGTACTGTATCCTTATATGCAATCTTTCTTTTATATATTACCACCACTGAATTAATTACTTCTATGAATTTGATATTCATCTTGTTATGCTAACGAGGTATGGCAACTTGGGTCGATGCATATATGTGCCTGGTCCTATGTTGTAGCTGACTGACTGACTGACGGACTCACGGTATTGTCGACCTAAGTATTCTTCCACCGTTAGTGAATAGCGATCACGCTGTTTTGTCACTCACGTTTAGAACTAGGGACATGTTATACGATCAGGTTACACCCCGCCCAAATGTATGGAAAGCTAACATATCAGCCATTCAGAAATGCGCTGCTAAGACAGATTGGTTTGTAGATAATAGTATTTAAAGGTAAGTTTAGTTTAGTGAGATGCTCGTTCATACCATACCTGGTATCGCGAAGACCGAATAACAGTCCATCATGGAGAACTAAAACAATCAGGAAACTTCTTAGAAGAAGGGAGAAGCACTGGAATACGTTCATCTCTACTAGCTCAGAACAATACAGATCCAGTTATTGTACGATCAGGAATGCCTGTAAAGCGTTAATAAGTAAGACTAGACGATCATATGAAAAACCATTGGTTAGAGTTTCTAGATATAGTCCGAAACGGTTATTCTCGTATATAAAAAGGCGAACTCAGAGAAGCGATGGAATTCCATCATTTTTGATACAAGAAAATCCGTTAATCTTGGCAGGAAATGATACCGAAAAAGCTGAAGCCTCATCGGAGTGTTTTCTATCAGTAATGAGGAACGATTAACGATTCATTTTGATTGTGGCGGCTCGCTGATGGACCCTGTAGTCATTGAAAAAGGTACTGTTTTAAGGCTACTTCAGCATCTCAAACCTGATAAGTCTAGTGTTCCTGATGATATTCATCCTAGGATTATGAAAGCCATATCGGATGTAATTGCTGAACCATTAGCGGTACTGTCTGACATGTCTCTGAGGCAGTCCAGACTGCCCGGAGACTGGAAAGACGCTATAATAAGTCCGGTGTATAAGGCTGGGAGTAGGGATTTAGTCAGTAACTATAGAGTCGTTAGCTTAACTAGTGCAGTTGTAAAACTGATGGAAAAAATTATTCGGATATCTGTTATAAACTATGTTGAAGGGCATAATATTTTCTCCAGGGAACAACATGGTTTTCGGAGAGGCCTATCATGCTTGACAAATCTTCTCATTGCAATAGAAAATTAGGCTGCTACAAAAGATCGGAATATTCCTGTGGATGTGATCTTCATAGATCTAAGTAAGGCCTTCGATAAGGTCTCCAACTCTGGTCTTAAATTTAAACTGGAACGTTTTGGAATCCATTATACAGTCGTAGATTGGATAAGTAACTTTCTCCATGACAGGAGATAAAGGGTAAGGGTAAATGGGGCTCTCTCCCCGTGGGTACCTGTAAAAAGTGGAGTTCCCCAAGGTACAATCCTCGGTCCTCTTCTCTTTTTACTTTATGTAAATGAATTACAAACTGTAGCAAAATCATCCGTTCTACTCTTCGCTGATGACATATAAATTTGGAGACCCATACACAGTATGTCGGATAGGATAGTATTACAGGATGATCTTAGCTCATTGGTGGCATGGTTGGGCAGGTGGTCACTAGAAGTAAATCGTAATAAGAATATGGTGATGCAATTAAATAACTATGATGAATCGTATCACTACACAATATGTGGATTCGTGCTACCCAAAGTAAAAAACTATAAAGATTTAGGAGTCATATTAAGCAGTGATCTCAAAACCACTAGTCACTGTAAGGCTGCTGCTGCGAAAGGCTATAGGGTATTACGGTCTATTCGCAGGTCCTTCCAGTATTTAGATGAAATGTTTAGATTACTATACCCGATTTACGTGCGACCACATTTAGAATATGGGATTCAAGCAGCGAGCCCTTGTTTCAAGTATGAAGCAGATATGTTGGAAAGAGTCCAACGACGAGGTACTAAGATGGTAGAAGGTCTATCTGGCCTATCTTATGAAGAAAGACTGAGACACCTTAACTTATTTCCGTTATCTTACCGTAGAATACGGGGTGATCTAATATTGGCTTATCGTATACTGAATGATGGCCTTGGTATTAACATGTCTTATCTTTTACTTTCGTCTAGGACTGATCATTTGAGAGGACATCCGAAGAAAGTTCGGAAACCGAGATCAAATCGTTTACGTCTGGAGTTTCGTTTCTCGCACCGAGTAGTGGATTACTGAAATTCCGTACCAGAACACGTAATACCAGCACCTGTTGATATATTCAAAACGAGATTGGACCTCCACAGTGTTACAAACTGCAAAAAATAATATAGGTCGATGGACCTCCTATCCTTATTACTGAAAAGTTTCAATTGAAACCCGTTGAAGTTTCCCTCAGAATCCTTCAGTTTTCCAAACTAGTTATGGGGCTTCTATCAGTCTTTCGTTTCATGAGGGGCAGAGCAGAAAAAGTTTCAACTTCATATAATCCCGACAAATCCCTTTAAGACCCATCTATATACTTCTATCTTGACTACGAGTCAGTCTTCAGTAATAAGGATAGTAGGTCCATCGACCTATATTATTTTTTGCAGTTTGTAACACTGTGGAGGTCCAATCTCGTTTTGAATATATCAACAGGTGCTGGTATTACGTGTTCTGGTAGGGAATTTCAGTAATCCACTACTCGGTGCGAGAAACGAAACTCCAGACGTAAACGATTTGATCTCGGTTTTCGAACTTCCTTCGAATGGCTTCGATATCTATTTATCCTCTCCATGCACTAACCAAAAGCGCAGTCTACTAATTCCAGTGGACCCAGACATGTAGTTACTTAATGCAAGATATACTTCAATTAGATGTTCGTCATTGATGTTCTGCTATCAACTAACGTCTACTTGTTTATAAGAAAAATAGAGGACAAATTATGCCAGTTTTCATTGCGTTTGCAGCCAAGTTTGGCATCTGCGTAGTCTACAATAGTATGATTTGGAAAGTAACTACTCAAGGGACTTTTCTGTACGTCAACCTAATCGCCTTAGAGATTCCGCATGTGTCTTTTCTCTAAGCCATTACCAGTAAATCTAGGTCTCATTCCAAAGTAGGATTTTTAGTATACACACCTGTCGTACAAGTGTTACATGAACATTGGTAAATGCTTTCCTCTAAGTTCAGATTTTCCTATAACCCTTGGCTGCAAAGGGACAGCTGTTGGTCGTGGTCTCTAATTACTGGCTCGCTTTGACTTCTAAATCATTGTAAGAAGAACTAATTAAACATTCTCACCTGTTCGCTGCTCCTGGTGACAAACGTACCTGAATTCACAATGTCTCACATCAATTTACTAAATTGCCTATATTGATTTCCAAGATATTTTTATCTCTATCCTTTCCTACTCCTCACTATCCAAGTCATCAGTTTTTTTTAATCAATTTGCGAATAATACGAAAAATTTGTTTATCACTTCTTTGTACATTCTGCTTCGATGTCAGGTAAGACAAGTGACAGATAAACTTACGGTTGAAACACCATCAAAATAACAAGTGCTATTTATCGAATTAAAATCAGGCTTCCTTAGCGTATCAATATAAAATAACTCATTTTTCATAATTAGGGCAAGTGGTTAGATGGATTTTGACAAGGTTGTTACTCAGAGGGTCAGTTTTCAATCACTAATTATGTATGTAAAGTAGATGCTTGTAATTTAATGGGAGGCATACATAGAACAAAGATAATAACTCTACAATCGTATTCGTGGTTAGACGTAAAATTAAAAGTTAGCAAGTCATTCACATGTAACGTAGAGCCTGGGTCATATACATCATTTCAAGTTGTATCATATTAGCACAGCGAGATAACACGATCAAGACAAATCGCAGAGCAACATGAGTAGTCACAGAGTTATTACTATTAAAAAAGCCTAGTTATAGAAAGGTGAAAATGTATAAGGAGATTTTGAGATTTTAGTTTTAAGGAAGAACAAAGATTAAATGTACCTACTACATTTTGACCGGTTCTGAATCGTTGATCGACGTTGCCAACCATTGGTTACGATAATTGCACATCGAACAACATTGTCCTTCAAGATATGCAGCGGTTAGGCATAGTACGTGTTCCAACTATCCCAGTTAGTGAAGACTCACAACTTTATCGACCGATTTTTTATCCTTATCTCGTGTTCTATGCTTAACTTCATTGCTGCTTACTCGGTGTCCAAAAATACACCACAAGTGCCTCAAAGACACTAGCGATCAAGCGTTAATAAACTGCCGATTTCTTCTGTTTTCAATGATACGTTTTCTTTCACACCCTTACAGCAGGATGGGCCGAACAGCCGCTTAGTATATTCGTTCTTTTTCTGGCAGACGAACATCTCTCCTACGCTACAAATGATGCAAGTTGTTAAAAATGAAGCGAAGTTTCATCACACACACCAATCTATTGGGGCTAATGTGACCTCCAAGACAAGTGAAGCCAATCAGCCAGCTACAACATAGGACCAGGCACATATATGCATCGACCCAAGTTGCCATACCTCGTTAGCATAACAAGATGAATATCAAATTCATAGAAGTAGTTAATTCAGTGGTGGTAATATATAAAAGAAAGATTGCATATAAGGATACAGTACATATGGAAAGAATTAGCTGGTAGAAAGAAAGGTATAAAGTAATTTTAATCTCACGGTTTAAGGGAAGACAGAGAGTGTATACACCGACTCCATTGTGATCGATTCTGAGTCATGTCACCAAGAGTCTCTAACCATTGGTTACGATAGTCACGCGGACCCCAACCAAGTGGTTTGCATTTACCAGCATGGCTCAGACTAGAAGTTAGTGACTTCAAGCACTGATGCCACGTTTTGGTTTGGCCGCCCCTAACTTTCTTCCAACCATCCCGAACACCAGTTAGCATTGCATGTCGTGGTAATTGGTGTTTGGGCATACGTAACACGTGGCCCAACCAACCCTGAGTCTCATGAGTGATTACCAAGTCCAACAGAGAAGAACCTTGGTTAGCACCAAAACGTGTGGGTTTGGATACATGATGCACTAATGCGTGCTCCATTACTGTTATCAGGAACCTACTATCAAAGGAGTTTATAGATCCTTCCATGGTCATCTCAGTCCAACTAATATCAGGTGCATTAAAGTCTCCTATTATCAAGCATCTAGTATTTGCACTCCAAAGATGAGTGTGCTTTAAAATAAAGTCATCAGCTAAGCTAAGTCCAAGTCATGGACTAACCAAGTTTCTGTCACTGCTACAATGAGTGGCCTTAATCTGTCCACTAATGTTTCTAGTTTATAGAACTTATACTACGAGCGTTGGCATATAAAACTCCTAGGTAGAACAGCCTATCCACACATGTTTTGGTAGCATTCGCTTCCAAGACCTGACTATCCAAAAACCCACTAACCGGAGATCTTCCTGACCGTTTTGTCGATGAGTTTCTAGTTCAGCTAGTGCTTTTTTCCCTTTTTATTCTATCTTTGAGAGACATATCAGGTCTAACTCGGACGTTGGAATTGTCGTGACGACGAGCGCTACTTAATAGGAGATCCCGTTGCTCCGCTGACCCTAGGATTACCTTAAGGAGTCTGCATGGTCGGGGTTCAACATTATCCTCGGTCCTCTTATCTATTCTAACCAGTTTTTTTACCTGAACTCCCTTAGAGTTATCTGGTAAGATACTATGAATATATTCTCCCAGCTTCTCTAAATTATGTGCGTGTCCAATTTTGGTGTCAGGGTCGGTTGACTCCAGCAATTTGCTCACAATAATATTCGATGATATTAAATTTTTCTTCTCAGTCACGCCAGGGTGGGTTAGACTTTCGGCCACATTCGAACACCACTCCATTTACTCTGCTTTGGACAACTGGCTAGTAGTATTATCATCCTTCACTTTGAGTATGATTCAAACCCACGCGCCTGATGAATAAGTTTATCATATTTTGTTTATGAATCCGTAATTGTCGAATAGGTTGCATTTTTCCTGAATTTAATTACGAAACTTATTGTAGTAACTTGTGAATTGAATATAATTATAACATTCATCTCAGTAATTATTTATATGAGTATTTTCGTGTACAATTCACTCATTTGATTGCTTCGCAAATGGAACCATTTTTGTATACTTATTAAACCACGTGGTCTAAGTGGATTATTTCCATGTGATTCTCATATTCCAACCTACAGCCCCAATAAGCGCTAGATAAAGAATATTCAGTTTCTGTTTTCTAGTATCTTTACTTCTTTTCAGATTCCCACCCACAAGTAAAAAAACGTAATGAGCTTACCTCATTTTCCGAAAATGAAACTGAATGCCCAGTTTGTTTGATGCCTATAGAAGATCCACTGCGACTTAGTTCATGCGGTCACTTCGCTTGTTCAGTTTGTTGGAGGAATTTCATCTCGTGCCAAATAGAAAACTTTGCACTGGCTCATCTCACATGTGTAGCGTGCTCAGAACTATTGCAGCCATCAACTGTGATTCATCTCTTGTCTGCTGTTTCGACTCGTCATGAGTCTTCACAAAGTCCCGTAAAAGATAATCAGTATGACCGCAGTTTATCTCGATATGAAGAATTTTTACTTCAACAAGCAATGTCCTGTGAACCAGAAGCGAGATGGTGCCCAAGAGGTTGTGGGTAAGTGCTACATTTTTTACTGTTGAATCCAGCTATACTCTCTATAGAGATGATGGTTTTTCGTCCCCTCATTTTTAAAATTTACAATTCTGCATGAACACGTAAATATTAGCATAGTATGGCATTCTCATTTTGAAACTATGGGTATTATGTGTAGTAGACTATGCACATTACTTGTACCTTCGTCTCTTTTTAATGGGGAAACTCATCAAATATGTCATTTTTTACATACTAATTGGTCGTTGATCAGAAGTTAAGGCTGCACTCGTTCACTGCTACGTTATAACTCAACAGTTTTCACTCTACTTATTCATTATGTTTGAATTTGGTCACTCTACTTCAGTCCAAATGGCCAAATAGTATATCTAGTTCATCAAATATGTAGCTCAGAGCATAGTTAATAAGTCTCCAGTTCGTTAGTCTCATACATCAAACTACCTATCACGGAAATAATTCTTTGTGACCAAAGGGAATCCAGTTCCTGGATTTAGTTTCCTCTATTTTAGGATGTCTTTAATGCTCACGTAACCACGACTTATTAACTTTAAAGATACTATTTCATCTCACATTAGCGAAAAAAACGTCTCGGATATAATCCATTTAGGGATAGACGATTGTTTTTGGAATTCGAAACTTAAGTAGTTGAAAGCATTCGAAAAAAAGACAGTTTACATCTCATGAACTAGTATATTATGCAAAAATTAAGTCTGACAGTATCTTCCAATCGTTAATGTTTCAATGGACTTCTGATCATGTTTATTCTCATGTTAAATATTTTGTATATAAGCATATTATTTTTGCAGATAGAAAGCTTATTCCGGCTAATGATCTTGTCTTTGCTATCAAATCATTCGGGAGTCGGTGTCAGTGATTCGGCATGGTAATCATTTATCAGTCGATTGATTTATCATCCTTATTTATACATTAAAAAACACGAAATTCAGCAAAAGGATCGATTTTCAACTTATTAATAATCAGTATAATCGTATATATATACAATATTTGTGCAATCGAAACACCATGTAAAATCAATAAGTTAACGTAGGATTGTAGCGAGAATGGAATAAAATTGGTAAAATGTCTTCGTCACAGCAATTAATGGTCTTTATCACACCCACATTGTCACTGAGTCTGTTATCGCTTGATCAGAACTCTGTTCATTCATTTTAGTAGTCTTTAATTCACGAATCGTTCGTCGAACCGTAACGTAAATAGCGCAGACTAAAATATTCATTAACAATAGAAACAGTGTGAAACATTTACTTATATATCCGAATTGCAGCACATCGTATCATTCAGAGAAAAACTAATGGGACAAAAGTAGTGACAACACTAGTGAGGATGTGGGAGACAATATACAGTGTTCGAAATAATAATTCTTTCGATATTATCAAAAATGAAAATGTATATGAATCATTATAACTATATCTTACTAGTAATACATATAACTAGCCATCCATTTCCTATTAACTTCAACCGTTAACCATAAAGCCTGTGTTTTTGTCCATGGTTTCAATCAACATACAACATTTCTTTTCTAACCACCTTAAGCCCTCAATCCCACCCTCCATCCAGTTTACATAACACTTTGACGTAGTCGATAATTCGCTGTATGTATCACATCCTAATCATCTCAATAAAATGTTCACAATTTCTCTAACAAACTTACCTACTTTTAGTTGGTAATCGGTTCTCAATTCTATAATTGTACAATCTATGATCTCACCACACATGATTGAGTGAAAAGTCATTAACGACCCAGTATTTGTTACTGTCTACTCTCAATAATAATATTTTACATCCAATTAATAGAAAAGGAGCTCACAATCCTAGTCATTAGTATCATAGTTCATAAATGAATCCCCAAAGGATAAAACTCACACGAAAATATTAAAAGAGAAACATCAGAAAAATCAAAAAGCTTTTGCTTTTACAGAATCAGATAGTCTATTTCTGTATACAATTTATCACTATATTTAATATTATCCTCATACAGTATAAAATAACCTCTCAAAATATGTATTATCCAATCCTTGAAGAGCCGATATACTTTCTGAACTTACTCTAACTTGATTGGCTCCCACATTTATTTAATGTTTCAAACATCTGTAACTGATAGATGTGGAATTATCTCTAAAAGGTTCATTGTTTTATAGTTTCAATTAGACATCTATCTACCTAATTCGTATACTCAGCTCAGGACAGATGTATATACATATTTCAAGGTCCTAATTATGTCATATAACAGGCTTTGGAAAAGCTGTGAATAAAAAGAAAAATATTTTGTAGTTGTAGCAGTAGTAGGTATTTGAAGTGGTTCCATTTTATGTTTAATTAGTTCTTCATACTACCTGATATTTTATCATTTCAGTTATGGATTGATAGCACACTCCTTCCACGCCTGTCCGCAAATTGTCTGTCTTCATCCAATGTGCGAAGGACGTTCATTTTGTTTTAAATGTAGAAGACCTTGGTCCACTGATACAACAAATGAAAGTTCGTCAGATCAAAATAATGTTATACATATTTGTCCGGCTGAACAAGATATGCGTAGTAATGCATTAGATGGACTGCGCTCTTTCTTTGGTATTCGGCGTTTTAGCAGGCAAATATCTGGTCAAAATTTAATAACAAATGGCCCTCAACCAAAAGTTTCTGATAATATTTTACCAATACATTTAAATACCTCGACTTCTATGAAGGGAAAGCGTTCCCATGTACTGAGATCTTATCCCAGTTCTACCAACTACTCCAATGATACTCGATTATCTATGGAAGAACTATTTACAAACGTAGATCTTGAGAGTGCTAATACTACTGCTCCTGTTTCAAAGGAAAAGTAACTACCTTTTTAATTATGAATATCCATTTGAAAATTCATCCTCATTCGTTTTTTTTATCTAATTGCCTTTATTCTAATTTATGAATATATATATGGTAGCAAAAACATTTAATTTGACAAATTGTTTATTATCATAAATTCTATCCTCACGAGTGGTTTTATAATTTCTTCTTTAGACATCCGATCTCTGAATATGATGTGGTTAACTCTTCTGAATCATCTCCCAAAGTAAAGAGACGTCCTTCCGTAGATTCTAATGATCAAAGTGAGTTTTTAAAATAGTAATCGCTTTATTCAATATTGTACGTTTAATACAATTTAGGACTTTCAACATACAATGTTTTAACAAGTTTCAATCTTGAAAGACGTTAAATATATATATAAAACAGGTAGACAAAATTACATTACAATGAAATCTTTATAAGAAAATACGGATCTTCACAACGTTGAATAAACTGCAAATTCTAGAGTATCACTTTTTGGTTAGTTGCGTAGTATATATGCTAAGTACGTTATTGTACGTAGCCTGTGCACTTTTTACCTGCGTAAACTCTTATATATCTACATCTTGTTCCGACAGACGATATACAATTGGTGAGATGTGATTAGAATGAATGATTCATATTTAATTTTGCCATGGCATTTACAGTTAACTATACAAAATAATCACAAAATGCACCTGAAGGTTTTGTAATTTCTTAAATTTCCCAAATCGTGAAATGTCTATTTCCAAAGTTAAGTAACTGTGCTTTTATTTTATTAATTATTCTACTAATTAAGAGGCTGGGGAATAGATTCAATAATCATATGTAAGAATTAGTTATATAATGCACTAACTCCCGGCTAATTTATAATTTTATTACCGTTCATTTCGACTGTTTTTCTTTCAAACTATGAAACGTACGTCTGTAAAATATATTCCTCTCGACACATAACCAAATAAATGTTGCATAAAAAATTCTTCTGACAAGTGCACATGATGATATTGTTGTAATGAATTCAATGTTGATTTAGTAGTGCTATGTGACATTAATCTCGCAAACGAAGTACAGGTTCGTACTTAGACTTCAACCATATTTTTATACGAGAACTTCAAAGATAAATATTGTCACATACTTACAGCTTACAAATGTCTTTCAAATTAAACTAATGCAAGTCATTGTGACTAAGAGAGAATTTGATCAAAGACTATCAAGATATGAATAAGTGAAATTTGTAGTTTCTTAGGTGAGTGTATTTCAGGAGCAATGAATTTAAGAGACAATAAAAGTTTATAAATACATCAAGTAGAAAAGAAGGCATAAAAATACAGAAAAGAAATTAGTCACTGTATGCAAATCATGAAAAAATGATTGGTTCCAATAAAGCTATCAATAACACTTGATTTTCAGTCAAAAAACTAAACTTGTAACATTCACAGCAACTAATCAAACAAAAAATTAGTTGACTTGTGTATAACCAGTCAATTTAATTAAATCACTAAACAGCTGATTTTAATGTTGATCATCGTGACCCGTATAACCTTTTTTATCAGTGCATCCAAAACAGACATACAAAGAGGAATAACATATACAAGATAGATAAATGTGCGAATTTCAATTGAAGGCAATTGATTATACCAAATATCATCTGGGTTTTCTTTACTAATTAATGTTTTAGAGTGTGCTTTTGTTACCGAGTGTTATTCTTTTTTAACTAATTGCATTCCAATCAACCAAATCAGTTTGGTATATGGACCATACAAAGCTTCATAAACATTTTATGGTATGTTATACTATATTTCAACGAGAATTTGTGTGCCGTAAAGCTTTACTGTCCTTTATTATTTTGATCAATACAGCTTAGCAGATCGGTTTGTCAATTGTTTACTTGACGTCAACTACTCATTTCATTTAAAGTAGGCGTGGATATATATATATATATATATATATATATATATATATATATATGCATGTTTGTATACATGTATTTACTACCAATCAATAGTAAAACAAAGTAGAACCTGGGTCTATAGTATGTTTATTCAGATTGCCTCATGTCATAGCAATCTTACTCAGTCGTGCAATCGCTGCACCTAAATTCAACTTTCTCTTTTACCCATATAATGGACAATATTCGATTTTGCCAGCTTAATAATAAAACTATTTCGATACCGTTTTGGTGTCATGCATTCCATTGTTTCTTTTCAACCTTTTATACACCCATTTTATTGGTAAACGTTTAATAGACATCTTAAGCTATTGAATGTAAACGTGTTTATTTCACATATATTGATCAGCCACTCAAGATTAAATGAATCTTATAAAAACCGATAGGATGGTAAATATATCGTACTCTGATAATCCTGTTTCAATTTTATTATTCAAATTACAATGTCATTTACCACTGCAATAATTTAAACCATAATAAGTAATATAAATAATGTGTCAAGAACGGTTGTCTTCTTACAACTAACTCAGTTCCTTTTTTGGATAATTTTAGAATATCTTAAAAACAAGTAGGTATTTGAAAAGATTTAAGGGATAACAGATTATTTTAGGGAAATAACCTAAAATAAAATAGTTCATGACTTTCGTTTATATTACATCTTTCATGCACTGAAACAGACTAAAAACATCTAGTGACTAACTTAATCATTAGTGATTAATTACAAACACCTTGACAAGTAGAAATTCATAATCTGCAAATATTTTTCGAATGAATCCAACAAATTGTCTAGAAAAAATTTTAGTTAATCAGATATATTTGTGCGTACGTTGAGGTTTGAAGACGTATGTACTAGTGTACTTCGTTAATCGATAGAAGTTATTGTTCATTGAACAATAAAACAGAACTGTCCTTTCTCAGAATTCAAATCACAATAACCTAAGTGAGCCGATGGTTATTAACTAACTCCCCTACATACTTACGCCTATTACCCGTAGTGGAGGAGCATAGGTCGCTCACCAGCATTCTCCATAGAAATCCGTCCTGGACAATCCTTCACAGTTGCCTCTAGTTGCTATTCATCCTTTTCATGTCTGCTTCCGATTCCCGACGTAGTGTGTTCTTCGACCCTCCACTTTTCCGTTTCCCTTCAGGGTTCCAAGTTGGGGCTTGCCTCGTAATGCAGTTCGATGATTTCTGCAAGGCATGTCCTGTACACCTCCAACGTCTTTCCCTAATTTCCTATTCAGCTAGAAGCTGATTTGTTCTCTCCCACAGTAGGCTGTTTCTGATGGTATCCTGCCAACGCATATTGAATATCTTGCGTAGATTATTTATTTATTTGAACACAAATATTGGTACAGGAATGCGCCGAATATATATGCGCCACACAAAACAATGAGAATTTAACGAGAAGGAAAACAAAAAAGAGAGAATAATAACGAAGAGATTGATGTAAGGTGGTGTTATAATAATAATGGTAAAAATGGGGGAACGGAAAGGTACAATCAGAAGAAATCTTTCAGGCAAGGGAGACACAACCACTTTTTATGAAGAAAGTAAAAGAAGGTTACAGCAGGATCGCCACTGGCTTCTATTCTGAGCCATATCTGATGACGTCTCTAGCCACTGTGTAGCACCATCTCTCGGACCCCAACCAGGGAGCCGTGAAGGACCGACAGAAGCCAGTCCTTTGCAGCTTTCTTTCATACCACAACACCATGTCATGCGCTGACCACCTCTCCGCTTCTTCCAACCAGTCCCAGAGTCGGCAAATAATGCACGACGTGGACTTCTCTGGGACGACATTCGTAGAACATGTCCAAGTCACCGAAGTCGGTGTTTCCAGATGGTGACATCGATTGCATTATCATCTCTGTGCCCGAACACACGATGCCGAACCTCTGCATTACTAACATGGTGTTGCTACTGGATGTCAGCAATCCTTCGGAGACAACGATGATCGAACACAGAGTCATCTAACGTCCTCAACTCGGAGAGGCCAGGTTTCACAAGCATAGAACAAAACTGCTCTCACGACGCGTTGTAGATCCGACCTTTTACAGCCAGACTAACAAAGATGGCCCAGATTGGTATAAGCCGCTCTGGCTTTCACTATACGTGCAGTGATCTCATCACTCACACCCCCACCAGCACTTATGCAGCTACCTAGATACACGAACTTCTCGACTACTTCTCTCTGCTCACCATCCAGGGTGAGTGCAGGATTAGAATCCTGCCAGTCTTGTAGAAGTACTTTGCACTTCGAAGGTGCAAAGCACATACCATACTTACGGACACTGATTGCTAACTGATTAAGTGCGGTTTGCATGCCTTGGGCGTTATCGCACAGTAAGACAATATCATCCGAATACTCACGGTCGAGAAGTCTTTCTCCAGGCAACAGATCCACACCGCCATTACTTACATCCATCAGAGCTGTTTCCAGAATGTCATCGATGGCAAAGTTGAAGAGGAATGGTGAGATTGGGCAACCCTGCCTAACCCCACTACTCGAATGGAACAATGGAGAAAGGTGGTTGTATGCCGTCACTCTGCCTGAGGTGTTTGTATATAGGGCTTTTAGGATGTTAATAAACTTCTCAGGCACACCCTTCTTCAATAGACAATCTCAGAGAACAGTCCTATCCAATAATCGAAGGCAGCCCTGATGTCAAGAAACACTACGATTGTTGGCCTTTGATAAGTATGGTGGTGTTCTAACATTTGGCGGAGGGTGAAGATATGATCAATACATCCTCGACCAGAACGAAACCCAGCCTGCTCCTCGCGAGTCAATCTTTCTCGGGTTTTGGACAACCTACGAAGTATGACGGAAGCCAATAGCTTGGACGCGATCGGAAGTAGACTTATTCCCGGATAGTTGTTACAGGAACGACGTGAACTCATTCCATGACCTCGGTACACCCTCCAGCTCTCAGACCTTTGTAAACAACACAGTCAGTTCCTTAGTCAGAAAGTCACCACCATCTGTATAAAGAACCGGAGGTAAGTCATCTGGGTCAGGCGATTTGTAGCGCTTCAAGAGTTGGAGTTCCTTGCGGACTTCCACCTCATTTGGTGGACCAGTCTTCACTGGCCTTGGAGGGCAGGACAATGTGACCGATGTTGCCGGAGCAGCAGGCCAGTTGAACTGCCCCTCGAAAAATTCTGCCCTTCGTCCAAGACGTCGATGGATGTTAGTGATTGGCATCCCATCATCCTCGCAGATTGTTTCGCTCACACCAGACATCTTGCTGCCAGTGGCTCGGACGAGTTGGAAGAGCTTCCGGTAGTTACCAGATGCAGCTGCTGCTTCCAGATCATTAGCACACTCCG